AGCATAGAAAGAAGACTAAAAAGGAAACATCCAGCAGATCTCATAAAGGATATAACCTAACAAACACGAAGATGGTACCCCGCTGGGGGTAGCCACCCACGTGATAATCAAACAGCTAAAAAAATCTACCAAATGTCCAAATTGGACAAACTGTGAATGTGAAATATTAAATAAAAAAGAAAAATATGAATGTATAATTAAGGGATAAGGGTAGAATATTGTATCGCTATAAACGTTTTCTTAATATGGTAACGAGATATTAGTGATTTTTGTCATTAGCGTATATTGGTGGTGTAAAATTGATCATCGTCTAATTAGACGATGACTCACGATCAAATGCTTAGACGATTATTTATGATTAGAATGTCTCATGATCTGTTACCGCGAATATGATGTCATTTTGTTTATCGCACAATCTATATTATTATTTACGTTCAGTCTCATGATCGATTAACATAAATACGATGTCATTCTATGTGTAAGATATAGATTAGGTCATATTCTGAGAATAATATTTATTAATATTATTCAGATAATTTTTTAGAGAATTAGTTATTCTTTAACGCTATTAGATTCAATTAGATTATTTAGGTTTAAGAATATAATCGTTTGTTTAACGATACGAACTGTATTATATTCTTTATTAATTGTAAATAGTCTGCCAGTGACGAAGAATCAAATGAAAAAATAAATGATTACATTATTACCTGTTAAAAAATAACTATAATTTTCCAAACAATTATATTCACAGTATAAGACTTGATCTTATAGCATTGTAAACGAAACAGCATCGTATTTATAGCATTATATTTATCGATTTGAACGTTTTTAATTAATTTCATAGCGATATCATGATTGATACGTGTCAAGTGTAATAGCGCCAACGATGTATTAATAACAAGCTCTGCATCCACGTGCGTTTCCTTACCCTCTAGCTCTATAGTTAACACGTATTAATCTCTAAACATTTTACATTCCGCGTGTTGGAACCTGAAAGCATTACGCAGAACGATGACAGAAACAACGTATGTACTTGCTATACGAAAGCGTATTCTTCGAACTGCCTAACCAAACCAACCGTGTGCAAATTGCGTTTAAACGTTCCCTCATAAATTCTCGCCACTTGTTTACAACTATTAAAATCAATCAGTCGGCTAGTTCGTGTATTGGCATATATATATAGCAGTCGAAGATAAAGTCGTTCGAATAAACGTGTACACGTACGTCGTTATATTTCTTTAATAATAATCCTTAAAGAGAAGCCAAACACCATCGATCGATACGTATCGATTAATACATCTTTGATACATATCAAAAGCTAAAAGCATTCAGATATTCGTAGATTGGAAAGAAAGAAAAAGAGAAACGCGTGGGCGAACGACGACCGTGAGGAGGCGATCCGCGGTAGAAACAAGCGAAGGAAAGGCTTAGTAGACGGACGAAGAGGACGAAGAGGAAGTTTCGATACGGTCGCGGGTCGACCGATCGACCAATCGCGTAACGTTGGCGGGGGTTGAGCCATAAATGTC